GTTCAGCTCCTTTTCTTCGCAAAACAGAAAGGAGAATTCTACTGCCTAAGAGTTATAATCCCTAAGTGAAGCCGTAGTCCGCCTACGCAGAAAAGTGTTCTCTGCAAACGGTGTTCAGCTCCTTTTCTTCGCAAAACAAAGGAGAATTCTACTGTCTGAGGGTTATAATCCCTAAGTGCGCCGAAGGCCGCCTACGCAGCAAGGTGTTCTCTGCAAACGGTGTTCAGCTCCTTTTCTTCGCAAAACAGAACGGGGAATTCTACTAAGTTAAAATTCCGAATTAAAAATCCCCTTTTATTATTCAAAATTCCAGTCTGGTAGCACCAAGTTGTAATTTATTCTGCTATCTTGTTCATCGTTTATATGAAAACTTTAACCATGGTACAATAAAAACAGGTAGAAGCCAAATTGACATCAAACCTACAAAACATGGTACAATAAAAACAGGTAGAAGCCAAATTGACATCAAACCCTACAAAAGTCAAAGTTTTCGGGAGAGTAAAAATAAAAATGAGCGTGTGTAAGGAAAAATAAAAAAATACATTTCACTGGTTGACGTTTTTAAGTATATTTGAAGTTTATTCTTATTTATTTATTTTCTTTAGTTAAAATTTTAAAAAACGTGTATGTTGTTTTCTGTTTTTGTTTTATGAGTTGCAGTGTTGTTGGAGGGACTTTTCGGCATAAGGGTCATAGGAACAGCACTTGGCTTCAAACGTGCCTTTCCTGTACCTCCCGGTGTATTTGTGGAATCTACTTCTTTAAAATGTTTAACGCACAGCAAGGCATTTCACTGCAGCTCTGCCCACAGCTGCTTTCGCAACGTTCCTTACGCGAAGGACATTGAGGCACGTTAAAAAATTAGTGGTATCTGCCTTATATTTAACACCACATAAAACACAACGCTTCAGGTGTTGCATTTTTAACACATACACTAAGTATAAACCGCACAACACTACAAAAATTCAAATGCAAATCAAAATTTGTTATTAACGAACATTCAAAAAAAAAACAACGATATGACATTCAAAGCGTAACGAAATATAGGAAATAAAATAAAATCAAGTTGAAGTTTAAAGGCTTGGTTCTCATGAGAGCAACGTCATTTTGGCTTCTACCTGTATTTATGTGCCTTGACTTTAACAATAAATTATAAAAGAACTATAGGGTTGCTAGAAAAAAGGGGGGTATTTTTGACATCAGGGGGTCCTATTCTACCCCCCCTCATCATCTTTTTTTCTAGAATTTGCCGTCCGTCTACTAAAATTTTCCCCAACATTCTCTCAATTTCGGTGTTTAAAAACATTTAAATCTTTAAAAAACTTGCTGAATAATTTCCTAAAACGTAATCATAAATAATCCAATAAGGAACAGACTTTTATTTTGATTTAATATAAAAATTTCATCGATGTTACCACCAGCACGCTTTCTTTCAAATGAAAATATGGCTGTCAAA